CATGCATTTATTTTAAGAAATTACATAATGGCATTTTCTTCAGGTGGCTTCATGTCTCTTTTTCATTGTTTTCGCTTCAGTTCTTGTCATTCCCCTTGGTTTTCTCTCAGATAGAACCATCTCTTGTGCACCTGTGTCTTCTTCGTTGTTCTCCACATTTGGGCTGATCTTTTTAGAACCAGGTTCTGCAGAGTGATGACTTGATGACTTGTCTGGTTCAGGCAAGACCTGAAGAATTTGATCCTGGATGTAAACTACAGCTCACATCCTGCAGAAATGTAGCAGTCTCTCTTTTTTTTTTTTTTTTTTTTTTCATACTGGGATTTATCCTATTGACATGGCTTTAATGCTAAGCTCAGCAAAACTTCTCATGATTCTTCTTAAATGATTTAAAGATAACCTACGGCAGAGTGTGCCCTGGTCTTCATGAGGTTAAGTCAGTTACATTTTTCAAGCAGACTAGAATAGACTAGACTATTTCAGTTGGAAGGGACCTACAATGATCATCCAGTCCAACTGCCTGACCAATTCAGGGCTTTTATGTCTGAGAAACTATGAACAGAATATGCAGCGCCTTGTCCATTCCTGTGTATCTTGGCACACTCTTAGATTGGTTCCCTCTAACTCGAGGTCCAGTTTTTCCAGTCTTCCTTGTAGAGATGCACCAGCTAAGCTAACATCCTGAAAAGTATTTAGAAGCCTGACCCTTGCTTAAGGCTCAACTCCACTGATTTTGGCCAAAGTTCATAAGCTGGATAAGACTGAAATCAGTGCTATTCAGGTATGGAGCTCAGAAAGACAGAGCCAAGCCTGCTGGCTCTGACCCACAGGCACTTGTGCACGTCTTTCATCTTCAGCATGTGGGCAGCCCTGCTGCCTGTTCTAAACTTCTGGATGCGTAGGTCCGGATTGCTATGCAGAGCATCAGCTACACACATACCAGTCCCCTGAAATAGTGAGGAATAAGGTAGCAGTCCCCCGTGCAACTACTGTGTCTTGAAAAGTAAATCTAGGCACAAGCAATGTTTTATGGTTGATAATGTGTTATTAGCAGAACTCCTCCTGCCTACGGTTCACGCCAACAACTCTGGCACAAAGTACCACTACCAGTGATATTCATACTCTCTGTTTGCAAACAGTACTATAGCCTTAAAGATACAGGCTGGTACAGTAACATGTTGTTGGTGCGATACGCATGGGCTTCGCATAAAGTTTAAAACCAGAAAATGATTCAATGGCTGTGAGTCAAGGGTCAAATCTAAGTAAGTTTTCCCAAGAGCCGGTTGATCTTCTGCCAGGTCTTCTGTTTCATCTATAGACTGGTTTCCCTTCAGCTGTGTTGGCATCTCTCTGCTTAGGTGATGCCATGACTCTCTGCCAGGTTTATCTCATATTACAAAATCCTGAACGCTGGACTGGAAGAGGTTGAAAGGTCTCTCTTGATTTTACAGGAAATATACCTTATTTCAACATGGCTATGGGTTTGCTACTTCTTTTTTTTTAATCGGTCCTGTGTTGCTAAGTCTGATATATTTATCTTTATGCTCATAGTATTTGATGTCCTGTAAAACTATTCCCAGCTCTCATTGTCAAGTGATTAAACAAGAATCTCAGCCTTCACTTAAAAAACATATTTCTAGGCTCAGTGTTGTTTAGAAGTGATTGAAAAATACTGAAAGTTAAAAATGTTGAAAAATGTTGGAAGTGCTTATTTACTTTGCAAACTGAGAAATCAGAATATATGAAAAAGGTAGAGAACTTTTTTCTCCAAAAGCTCTATGGTTTTTAAGTTAATCTTGAGATTTGGGAGGAAGAGCAGTCATGTCCTCCTCTTTGACTATTTGGAGTTGATTGATAGAATTGTCTGTGTTTTCCCCAATTACTTATGCTGTTCTCTTACTCAAACCTCTCTTTGTGAGGAGTGGATCAAATGGAGGATGTGGGTTTGGCTTAGTGTCAGCCTTCACTCAGTTTCAGGTTAAAGGAGACCCACAAAGGGAGTCAGTGTTGGTGTTTCTCTTCCCCAGCCAGCCCACCCTGCCTTTTCTTCTTCACCTTTTTTATTTGGAGTTAGAAAGGCTCAAAAGCTTCTCCTTGTTTTTTTGAAGTTTGCTGCATTTCCCTTTGTGAATGCAAAGATTACCCTGCCCTAGTTTATCTAAAAAAATCAGTGACAACGCTGACAGTGTGCCATCTGCAGCCCTTGTAGTATGACTGGGACAATGCTTAGCATTTATGAAAGAGTGCTTTTCTCTCAGATGTTTGAATTCAAACCATCCTGTTGTTGTTTATTAAATAAATAAGACTTTTTCCGGATGTTTTATTTATTAAAAAATAAGGGCTTCTTTAAAATGTTAGACATATATGGGACTTCAGTAATGCATAGGCTCTATGTTGGCTCTCAGATCAGGGGTGACTTACTCTGTATAGTACAAATGCAGGTGGGGTGCTTCTGTGCGGCAGAGCACGTGAGAATGAAGAAGTGCTGTGGACTCCCCATGCTGGGCATCTGCGCTCAGTTGCACGTGGTCTGAATAGGCACAACTCTGTTCGTTTCCCTGCAATGGCATCTGGTTTGTGTTAGCACGAATGAAAGGGGGCTCAGGTTCGGTCAGGTGTGCTAAGCAGGTTGAAAGGCTCTCTTTTCCAGAATGGCTTAAGGAAAGTCAAATCAGCGTTTGAAGCCAGTGAACTTCTGCAAGGCGCGCTTGTCATCGCTTTGCTCTGTGCTGAGGAGTTTGGGCTGGAACCTTTTCAGCTTTGGAGCAATGTCTTCTCACATGCGAAGATTAGCTAAACATTAGAAGTGGATGCTGCAACTTAGATAAAAACTGAATTCAGTTCCTAGCTTTGCTAACTAGCTGTCCTAGGACTTCACAGGAACCACTCTTTCTCTGCCTCAGTTCTGCTTTTTGGGGTTTTTTTGGTCCACATCCCATTTCTGCCTTCCCCCAGGTTACATTCTGTTTCCCACCCACGCCTTTCCTCATCTGAGAATTACTTAACTTTCTGAAGAGGAGTCCTGTGAAATGTATCCTACACAGTTGCACTGCTAGGGTGGAGCTGGGAATAGAGCATGGGTGGAAGGAAGTGGCTGGGACAGGGATGAGGGAGAAAGGTGGCATGTGGGACAATATGACACTGCAGCTCCAGTGGGCAAGAGAGCAGAACTGCTCCTTTCTGTGGTGCTGTGGATCTAAATCAGCCTAAGCTGATCTCGCACTGTCCCCTCCGAGACCTCCATGAGTCCATGGTGTCCACGCAGAATTGAGAGCAGCCTAAGTGGTCAAGATAAAGGTGTGTGGGAGATGGGTGTCCATCTAGAGCAGGTTTTCCCAGAGATGATCCTTCTATGCCTAATTATAGTGCCTGGCCTTTTCCATCAGCTCCCTGGCATGAGTGCCTTCTCCTCTGGTGCTCACCTGTTTGGAGCTCTCTTGGCGTCATTTGCTTGTCTACCAATGTCAGCTAACAAGCTTCTCCAGCTTCCCTAGGCCTCTTGATTTCTCTTTCCCACTGTTACTTACATGTCTCAGCAACTGGCTCTCACAGAAACTCCCTAAGCACCATCATGGTCTCTGAGAATCACAGAGGGTTTCTTTGTGTGCAAATTAATAAGCTCATGTAAGTAAAATCAAGAGAGAACAAGGCTACAGCAATGCAAAACCTATTATTCTTTTATTGGACAAGTGTAGTTTTAATGCTCACACTTGAGGGTATGCTAGTAAATATGTTAAAAATGCTTGGAACGTGGAAACTGACTGGCTGACACCAGTGTTTCCTATGAAGCTTTACAACCTTAAATTGGTACATGAGGTCATCATGGCCCTTGAGCCAGCACTGCCGAAGCCATTGCTAAGTTTACCATTGACTTCATCAGCTAAGAAACTGAGCCCTAAATTCTGGTTTGTTCAAGAGCACAAATCCTACGTCTGATCTTCCTGGAAGAGATCAATAGTCTTTCTTGTTGAATTACAGCTGCACAAGTGCTGTGCAGGCTTGAAACGTGGGCAGCTTATCCTTTACAGGGAATGAGACCTGCAAGTTGGAGTTGAACTCACTTAAGTCATTAGCTTTATTTGTCTATTCTAAGCCAAGAATATATTACCAAGGGCAGACAGATGTTGTACAGGCACCTATAGCGGAAGCCCAATCTACCTGAGAAGTAGACTCCTGATGAGTGCAGTGTATGTATTTACTGAGAGTGCGAGCGGCCTGACCTACTCCTGGGTTTGCCCAGAGTAGAGCTCCTGGCTAGGTCTGTCATTAGAGACTTTGAAGACAATATAGAAGAGACTCTCAGTAAAGCTGGGTTAGGCTTCTGTTTTTATTGAGGGATCTACTCTCCTTTTAATCACGTATTGACGTCTTCCAGTGTTGTAAATATCTGTAAATATCTACCCTGTGCAGGTAGACCTTTGTTGCAATGGAATTATGCTGAGGGCCGTTAACAGGTAACGCCGGATGCAGCACGTCAGAGACCTCCTGATGCCACTTTCAGCGCACTTTCAGCTACTAAATGCTGAGAAGCTGGTAGGGATCACTGGGTTGGTTCCAAGTACAAAGTAGAGAGAGGGAAGTCTAGTGGATGTTCGAAAGCTTACAGTATGTTTCCACCTCATTCAGAGTGACTGTGCTGGGAAGCAATTTATACAAAGTTGCTATGTGAAAGAAAGTTGTATGTGTTCAGAATGGCTATATGTGTATATAAAAAAGATAACTGCATATGCCATAGACTTGTGTATCATAAATGTGTATGTCAAGCAATTTTAATTGAGGGATACAACTGCCAGTGAAGCTTGAAGGAATCCTCCAAAATCACTCTTGCAAGCACGTGGGCTGGCAATTTATTTAATAGCTCCAGAGGGAAAGAATTGTATCTTCAGCAGAGAGCTGATGAGTCTTGGTACTTTTTTTGTGAGCCTAGCTGCCCTTCTCCCGTAATCACTGACACTCATCCCACCCTGTACATCCCCAAGCTTTCCAAGCCGGGTACACTTTTAAACATTTTGAAATGGGCAGTCATACTCTGTCATCCTGCAGACAATGAATTTCCACTGACGATCCCTGCATGGAAGAGAGACAAGATAGAGATATTAGTGAGCCAGAACTGCAGAGGATAAGACTATACAAGTAAGAATAACTTTACACCAGGTATTGTGGTAACAAAAACATCTGTCTACAGTTAGCAGACTCCTCCGAGTGCTTTGTGTTTTTGTGGGCTGCAAGGAGATTAAATATGTCTGATAGCGCATGGCAGGGAGGTTGGAACTAGATGATCTTTAAGGTCCCTTCCAAATGATAGTTGTAATTCCTGCCTTACAAGGTAAGAAAATCAGCTCTCAGAATAATTCAATCTCTGAGAATCCTTCAGAAGACAATGACTCTTCATGGTGATCCATCCTAAATTGACCTTAAATCAGTGACCAAGAGGAAGAGGATGGTTCTGTCGAAAGTTATTGTCATGTGATACATTGCTTAGGAATCTGTACAAAGCAAAATGTGTGGGGGATTTTCAAGCCTTTTCTAAGTGGGGAGTCACCCCACAGGGGAATTCAATCTTTTTTTTTTTTTTTTTACATTCCACTTCTAGGTCTTCTAGCTAGTGTCCTTTATTAAAGATGTGAAAGAATCAATAGCGAGAGAAATTAAATTCACTTCTCATCCTTGATCTCCACAAGTCACATGTGAGGCAGAGAAGTGTTTATGAGTGTAAGCCAAGTTTATACTCTTCCTGGTTTGTGAGTAATTGGATGTCTGTACTCTCTCTCAGGAGAGTGACACAATAGCTACTATCAGTTTATAGCAGGAAGCATGGCTGGAGCAGCAGGATTCAGCAGTGGAGGCCAGTGATTTAGTGTCCAATAGCTGCAATAGGCTGCAAATTTCCACCTCAGCTTATCATGCATTAAATTTTCCCTCAACAAAAAGTCATGAGCTCAGAGGATCAAATACTGTCCTGCTGTGGAGCACATGTTCAATTTAGGCTGCTTGGTACTGGCTAACAGGAGTTTAGATCTAAAGTCCAGACCTTGCAGACGGCAGCCGTCATTTCAGTTGGTAACGGGTAGTACTCAGAGAGGTTTCTGAAAGTTTGGATTCTGCTAATAGTTATCTCCTGATCTTGGGGCATGGTACAGGTAGTGCTGCTGGAGTGGTTCAATAGGACCCTGCTTTACAAGACCCCTGCACAGTCCTGGTTTTTTGGTGGCCAAGTCCAAACAGTGAGGAAACTGGTGCCGGACCTGCTGCCTCTTAGGGATGTACTGAGACACCTGAGCCCCGTTTTCGGTCTTAACTGCTCTGACATGGTTTTATTGATTAGATGACTCTATCCTGGAATAAGATTAATTTGACTCTTAAGCTCTGTGTAGGTATAAAGCGTCTCATTTCAGCTTTCATTAAATGAGTTTTTTTAATTGGAAATTTACTATGCTACTTCAGCAGTTTACGCTGTTTGGAAGGGGGTCTGTCTCATACTCATTAGCAAGTCTGCATTTAGTTACATAGTGTTTATTTTTAGTTTTCTTTAGGCCTTTCGTAGGTGGTTTGTAATTGTAATTGCCTCATGAAACTGTTATCAAAGGTTAATGAAATGCAAGATTCATTTTTAGGTTTATTTTAGGAAGTCCTCATTTGGACTATGTGCATGCTCTTCAAAGACACTTATTACTTTTTTGGTCACTGAGCTACCCAGAGAGACCAAAAAAAAAAAAGGTGACTCAAATGTGGATTAACAGGATTATATGGGTCAAAATTAAGGTCTGCTAAACTAGCACCCGTTGTCAGAAAGACTTTTAGCTCAAAAGCTGAGGTCAAGTAATTTTTCTAAAAAAGGATATTGTAAAGTTAAAAGTCAAGTTCTTTAAAATAAACGTATTTTAGTTACCTGAATTAATAACATGCTTTACAATATTAGAACAGAATTATTTCTGAGGTTGTAATTTAAGGTTGAACTTGCAGACACTTTTGCATATATGCACATGGTTGATGGCCAATAGTTTTATGCCTTTAGTGTCTTAATTTATCTTTTTTTGCATTACTTGGGTTTGAAGTTAAGCATATATGGCCAACTTTTCAGGATTCAGGCAGCTACTTTGTACCATTGGTGCTGTGTGTTTAATTCAATAGTTATTAATCTGTTTCAATTTGTAGATCCCTCACAAGTTTTCCAGTGGGGGTGCAGATCCTGTCAGGAATTGCCCTGTGTGGGATAGTCTAGAATATATATGAACTTGCCTTTGCAGATCCTTAACATGTATTTTCCTTGGCTTGGGGAGTCAACATTGAATTGTCATTTTTACTGTCCAGCTGTTATATGCTGTCAGAATTGAATTTTTGATGCTATAGGGAAAATATCTTTTATCTCCAAATGTTGCTGAATAATCTGTTTCCCATTCAGTTTAAAAAATTCGATGAATTCCTATTCATATTGAGTTTGACAAAATCCTCTTTCTTTGGTCATATGAAACTTATTAGGGACCTAAAATACACTATAATTTAGCTCAGCTAAGCTTGATAGATACCCATCTTGTCCAGGCACTTCAAATGTACTTACTGCTGGGGTATCTGGGTGTTGATCTTTTCTTTCAGTGATGATGTCTGAGCAGTTAAGAAATTATCAGCTATTCGGATCACCCAAATAAATGGAGCAGAGAACAGTTTTGTAAAAGAAATGAGCTTATGACAGTCTGCATGTGCTATTTTTATACTACGCAGTGAAGGGCGAGCTGCCGCACCTACCAAGCATGTCTGGTAATCCCCTCCTCCCTGTCCAAGCTACTTGCTGGGGGTTGGGCTGTGAATGCTCCAGTGATGCTCTCTGGACTTGAGAGACCGATCCAACCACACCACAGCCCTGTAACAAGGCTCTACAAGGGAGCCATGTTGTCATCACTTAGTGTGTTTCAGAGCTCAGGCTGAAGCTGTTTTGAAGCTCTTCAGATTAATTTTTTTTTTTTTTTTAATGTTGGAAGCTATTTTGCCAAGGGTTTACAATGTGCATGTCTATGTGGGCAGTTTCAGTTGTTTACAGCCTGCTTCACACACCCCACGTCTATCTCTGAAACTTGACTGTATCAGTCTGTCTAACAAAAGATACTGCCTTTCCCTGCAAGTGTTCCCTTACGTCTGTAGGTCATCCTGTCTGCATCAGCACTATCACCACACTCTCAAATGTGCTCCCAGAGATACTTCAGGCCTCTGCTAATTCTTTCCAGCTGCCTTTGTCTTGCTTTATAGACAATTGTTTTCTTCTTTTGACCTATTTAAAATGGGGCTGAAAAATGTAAATATTAACCACTTCTAAAGTCTGTTCTCCGCAGATGAGCGCTTAAAGCCTCTGGTGCTGAACAGCACCTCCTTCTCTCATTCCTGATGCACCGGTAGGCAAACTCACCGTGCATGATTACAGAAGAATAGGTGGGGATACCATCTTTCTAAACTTTCTACAGCTTTTCCCGGAGGCATCATGTGCTCTCTTAAATATCTGTGCATTAACAGTGACCCCAGTGAGGCAATGTCTTAGGGAGTAGGAAGGGAGGATATGATTTCTGCAAGTTCATTCAGAGTCTAAAAATACCTAACTGTTTGAAGTGATTAGGAAAGCTTAAACTAAAATACCTTCAAAGGCTTTTATTGTACCTCTCGTTAACTCAAGAACATTACTTGTCACGGGCTAAATAGCATGGACACAAGTTTAACATGCTTGAAAATGAAAAGCAGTCTCAGTCTCACAATCTACAGCATGTTTACACAGACAAGCTGCACATGTGGATGCTGCTTGCAGGCTCCTATGCTGCCTCAACCAGCTGCAAAGAACCATTTAGGATGACAAACTGCTGACTTTTGCAAGTATAACACTCAGGAGGGTTGCTCCATGAATCTGAATTATGAACTGGCGTAGCAGGATTTTTTTTCCCTTTTTACATGAGGCAACACAAGTTGGTTTTATTTGTTCTGGAAGCTGGGGGCCCAAAAGTTCATTGGCACAGAAAAGTTTCCTAGATTGCAATTCATGAAATGTTTTCTGTATGGTTTTCACCTGCTACTATTGCAGGTTCATCTGTGGTATCACAGCAGTGGTAGGACAAAGGTGTTGGTGGCTTCTTCCCTTTCTGGGTGCTGTGGTGCCATAACCTGTGAAGACCTGTACTCCCGATGTACATCCCCATGATGCTGCCTCCGCTCCTGGCCAGTCCCCCCACTGCTACCCCGTTCTGAAGGCTGCGTTAAGCCTTCAGCAGTCACAGACAGAAATCTGCTCAGAGGCATCATTACCCTCAACTGCTCTGTTTTCCAGGCTCATCCTTGTGATTCCTGACTTTATCCTGGTCCACATCTGATGGAGGCTGGAACCTAGCTGCAAGGGAGCACACTGTCTACGTTATCTCCCCTACTCTCTGCCATGGCCATGAGGAACAAGGCTTAAGAATAGCACAGAGGAATATTTAAGAGAAAAAACCCAGAAGAGGTGTGTCCCTTGCAACTTCGTAAATTCTTTATCCAAAGGGATAAATAGATACTTTTGAGACAATTAACTGTGACAGTTACGTTTCTGCTTGTGGGAATAATTTGCAGACATGCCTTCCATTTGTTAATAAACAGGCAATGACAATGTTAATAAACAGAAAATGACAATTATGGACCTGCAGCAGTCTGACAGTGTGTTACCATTTCTGGGAAGGTCTTCTTATTTTAGGTAATCTTTTGGCTGAGGGGATGATCCCTAGGGAAGTCGGGCAAGCTGGGATTGTCACAGTGGCAAAAGCACCTCAGCTCCTTTAAGCGTTATTAGAGGCAGCTTGAAATGCTGCAATGTTTAAATTCCTTCTTCTCTCTTCTCTCTTCTCTCCCCCCATCCCCTGTAGCCAGTTTTGGCAATGATAGGCCAGTGCAGCACACCTTGCCTTGCTGTCTATGCTGTGTTTGATAACAAATGCTTTAATATACTGGCTTGAGGTGTCTGATAAAAAACATCAGCAAAGAAATAACTCACAGTTGATGTATTAGAGGTCAGCTCAAGAGGAAAGAATTAAGATCCAACTACAACTTTGCTAGCCATAGGGCCTCATAGGGCCTGGTCAAGTAATGACCAGGACTGATCAAGAAAATGTAGTGAACTCATTTTCTGGAAAGGCATCAATGTGCACTGCATTGTCTTAACTCCTGGTGTGGCCTCAAATCTGTCAGAATTGTGTTGCAATGGTTTGGGCAGTGTACAGCATTCAGATTGCAGTTTGTATGGTCTTATCTTTGCATGCTGGCAGATTCCCCACTTCTCTGCAAGGAAAAGTGGGCCAAAATAAGTCCCTCAGCCCCTGAAAGAACAGGGTGTTCCAGGCTGAGTTTTTCTGGGCTAGATAAAAGATGCTCTAACTAGAGGTAGGTGAGAAACAATATTGAAGATTTGTTAAGCTTTATGGAGTTCAGGTTTAGCCAAGCTTACCATTGCTATATTTTTCACTACTCAGATGGACATGGCAAATGATCCTCTTGTGCATGAAGATGCCCTTTTCCTGATCCACCACCCTGGACAATTAGCCACATGCACACTGAACTGTGGTCCTCAGAAGTACTAGCCTGATGCTGAGTACCACAGCAGATGATGTGTAGCCATACAATGTTTGGGAGAAATAGAAAAGGAAAACCTGTTTTGTTTGGTTTGTTTTGGTTTTTTAATTCTTAGTGAAACAGATGAAAAGCAAACCTGTCCACAGCAGAGAAAGTTGTGGTTGCCCCACGGATGTAATGGTCATAAGTGTACATCATCATGTCCATGTCTTCTCCATAGTGTCCCGGATATTCTGTTGTTAACCTTTACATTAAGGAAAAATAAGATAAAATAATTTACCATCTTACAGAAAAGTCCAGTTGACTGAATGCAACTCAAGTAGTAGATTTTTCCTTTTTCTGTGAAAGTTCTTGTTTCTTAATAGTACCACAAGATGCAGTCTGACCTACAAGACTGTATTTCTCTTCTACACAATTAATTGATGTAGCTATTTCAGTAAATTTCAGTAAGTTTAGAACTGTTAAGAGCAAGTTGGGATATTATATGTATACACATCTGCAACTCTGGGATGAAAGCAGCCTGAACTAGAGTGTAGAGCTTGTCTGCTACTTCTGCATTTGTTGCAGAGATTTGCTCCGGCCTCTTGTCAGTCTGTTTGGTTTGCTGCTGTAGAGTTCTGTAAATGCTGCCAAGTCAAATAGCTACAAGCATTTATCCATTTATGAATTATATTAAATGAATGTAGCAATTAATTCATTCCTCTTTGTTCTTTCCACTTGCTGCCTAGTTTATAATGTAAAAGTATTGGCCTGGACAATATTTGTGCAGTCTATTTTCTCTAAGAAGCTCGAAGTGCTTCTGCACTTATTAATCGAATTATGGTTACTGCTTTCCTGGGAAATAGGCAAGTAGTACTGTACTTGGTTTTACAGACATTTTGCAGTTAATGAACAGATGCAGGAAGGGGCTGGGACCTTGACCAGTACTTTATGTCACCATTATGTTAGAGGTCAGGAATGGAAACCTGGCACTCAGTCTTTCCCTGTATTACACCATTTTACGTGGGAGTTGCCAGTGGACTTGTGTGAGCTTCGCTAGAGAGCGGCGCAGGGAAGAATTGGTTCCCTGTAAGGGAGATGCTGGCCCCATAGAAATGAACGTCTCAACTCCTATTGAGACAAACAGGGTTAAGGTGCCTTTACAGAAATTCTGACAACAGTTTTTCTGACTTAATTCAGCCCAGCAGCAGTACTTGAATGACGCCTGAAGGTGATTCTAGCACATCCCAGCCAAACACTCAAGTGCACGTTTACATTTTGTTAAATCTGTGGGGTTTGAGCACAAGCTTAAATATTTGACTCACTAGGAATATAATTATTGGGATAGATTTAAGATTTTAAAATGAGATGCTTTGAGGTTATTTGGAGCCCCAACCAGTAACTGTTGGAATACTCAGAAACCGAAAGTTTACCTGAAAACTGAGGGACTCCAGAATATTAGGCTGCTTTCTCCTAGAGCTACTTACTATGACAAAAAATCCTCTGAAATTGCCACCACTCTCCGTATATTTTAAATGTATTTTTGATCACTTCATTTACCCCATTCTTACACTGTTTACATCTTTGTACAGCAGATGTAACTTAATACCAGGTCATTTTCAGCTTTTGAAGATTCAGTTAGAACATCATTCCTAATAAATCATTATTCCTTGACAGATCAAAAATGGGACGGAGTGTGAAACTCAAGCATGGCCTTATAAGATCCCTAAGTCTCAACAGTCAACTTCTTTGAACACATCTTGTTCTTGTGCCTCCTGTCCTTTGGCCATGGCAATCATCAAGCAAATTACTAGTTGTAGTGTAGGAACACCCATGCCCAAGTGGTTTTGCGAGGCAGAAGATCAGGCCTCATTACAGCATCTGTTGTCAGAGCTCTGACCGAGGGCCCATGGATTCGCAGAGCCTTCACAGTGCTGTGCTGATGGTAAGAAAAGAACAGCAGTATTTCACAGGTCATGCAGACAGCTGGTGCAGGCTAGCAGAAACAGAAAAAAACATGTACACTGGCAGTTGTTAGGATGGATAAATAGGTAGAGTCATCAGTATGCTCTGCAAGTGGGAAAATTAGAGGCACGGTTTTCAGTCCAGCCCCTATGAAAGTCCAAAATGATATTACTATGGATTTTAAGGGAACTGTCTCTGACCCAGACAAAGAGAATAAATGCAAATATTACAAAAAGCTGTTTCTCATGACTTCTCACCAGTTAGCTGATGTTTTTTCCTAGACCAAAGATCATGAGCTGAATGTGTGTCTGTCAAACCATGGCAAACCTAATTTTTCTGTTACTTTGATTGAAGGCTGGTGTTATCATTTTTTCTTTCAGGACATCTCCCCTTGTGCTTCCAAATATGTATTTATTTGTCATTGTCAGACAGTTTACAGCTCAGATTTTAATACTTTTTTGCCTAGACAATCTATGACTTGGATCTCTAATAGACCTTTATGGCCCCATAAAAGAGCCTTAACCTGAGCATAGGCTGGTTCTTCAGTATAGCCAACTTGCTGAAAGCCCTCCAGTTTGCAAAGAGATGGTTTTAGGACCCCGAACTCCATGCCCAGAGCTGTAATGAGAGCTGACCTCTGCTTCCTGGTCTGTGTCTTATCCCTTTTCTTTACGCAGAAATCAAGGCCTTGAGGAGGACTTTTCTGTATGCCTGAGTCTCCCGTCAGTGAAACCATGGATATGAATCTGGGAACTTGAGAGTATTTCTGGATCCATAGCCAGAGGCCAAGAGAAACTGGGGCTACATCTATGCTAGTAAATTAATCAACACCAGAGAATGTTTCTGGGCACTGTAAATTGATTGCCTAGATGTGTAAATTATTAGAACAATCCCTGGGACAGTTTTAGCCCAGACCAACTAACACAGTCTCAGCAGATACCTCAAAGACACAGTTTGTGAGTTAGCAGGTAGGTAGGTACCATTCCTAACAGGCAGAATGTGGACACCCTGTTTTGGAGCGTAAGAAAGTTTATCAGTGTAGTTGCTTCTTCTGCTAGAGGAGAGTCCCCATGTTTAATTTATTAATTTGTAGCCTGAGTGTCCGATAGCGCATCTTCGAAGATGCCTGGGTCACAGTAGGTTTTTAAAACATGTGGCATGAAAACTAGCTGTGGACTAGGCTTTCATTTTGCATCCCCCCATCAACTCCAGGGTTTGGGGCTTTTTTTGGCTATTATTATGAGAAAACACCAAGGCGTGTGTTTATATATGTTCCACCAAATGTGTTTCATAACATCTGTTTGGCATTCAGCAAGGAAAATGTTCTGTAATCTTGACCAGCACTATGTGCTGGGCAGACGAGACTGCAAAACACAAGGTTAAAAAGCTGCTTTCAGCTCTACTCCGAGACAGAACTGAGAGTCAGTTCTTTGAACTTGTTTCATGAGCCTTTCAGTTGAAAAGCAAATCTGATGACAAGCTCCTGAATTACTGTGAAGGGTCTCAGAGACCTTTTGCAGAAGCAGGCAGTGTTATTCTGAAGTGAATGGATGCAGCAGGGAGCCTTCATTTAGCTTCCCTCTCTTTTCATTCTGCCTGCTGTCATCTCCCCCTCCCTCTCTACTAAGTTCTTCACATTACCATTCAGCCTCTTAAGGCTCCTCTGCTAAGAAATGTTCGAAAAGTCAATATATGTAATTACCAAAAGTAGGCGATATGGGGACTTGAGCTGCTCTGAAGTTTGTCTTGTTACATTGACAGATGCCTACTGACTCCTTTTGTTCTGGAGAGAAAAATCATAAATAGTGCTATGACAACAGTGCTCAAGTTTGCTTGGGTCTGTGTGGTCTGTCTGTCTGGTTCAGTTCTGTTTGATGTTGGCTGTACTCATTTATGAAACTGTTCCCTTAAGCCCATGCATCTCAAGGTCATCTGGATTGCCCTGTATCCTTTAGAAGGAAATGCATTTGGTTGTCCGTATAGCCTGGCTCTGTGGTTTTACCCAGCCCTTCTCTATTATCCCTGTTTCAGGAATCCTGGGGATAAGTTGCACAAAATGTATCTGCACTGAGAGATGCTCTCGTGTCTAATGCGTAAGGATATTCAATACTTGGTTTTCTCGTCATGAAGGGGAGAAAGTTCATTTATCTCAGCCATTAAGGCTCTTCTCAAAGTGGTCTGCCCAGCATGGGATGGTGGTTCCCTCATCATTTGTTGTAGCTTGGTGCATAACCCTATTATCAAGTGCTTAACTAAAAATATTAAGTGTTTTACTCTCTAATGAGTATCAACTGTGTATCCACTGTGAACCACCTGCCGGGCCCCTACAGACAGGTAATTTGTTTACAAATGTGGTAGCATTTGTAAGCCATGTGTGGCACTGTATGGTTTATACCCAAGAGGAGTCATGAAACAAGTGAGAGAAACTTTTTGCCCTAGTCGGTGAGCGTTTGCCTGCCCACGGGAGTCCGGATTCCCAAGGAGTCCAAGCCCAAGGGCAAGACCCATTTGGGAGGAGCTATCCACAGTGACCTGCCTGAGGGCCCTGTAAGCACTTCTGGCATTGACCTCTTAGCAAAGACAACAGGCTAGGGGAGCAGTGAGGAGCTTGGGAATTGCCAAGTGCTGAGACAAAGTTGCTGCTGCTGTTTGGGGTGACCTAAGGCCTCTAGGATCAAGCTGTGGTGCTTGTGGTACCCGAGAGGGTACGTGAGGGAAAGCCCTAGAAGAAAGGCTTGCAAAGCAGCTGTGAGAAGACCCATGTTATACTGATTGTTGGACTTAGGCACGGAGTAATTTGGTGCCAGATGAATGCTGAGGAGGCAGAGGATCTGTTTAGGGGCTAGCAGGGTGCATTTAGTGGGGTTGTTTACTAAACCCAGATATGCACATAGGTGTTCAGCTTGGGGAAGGACTCATAGGTGAGAAAATAGTAATGCGAGATCTTTAGCAAGTGGTAGTCTTTTCAATCTATATGACCTATTGGAAAGAATTAATACAGAAAACAGGAATTCTGCTTCGGCTTTGCAAATCCACTCCAGGTTAGTATCAGGTGTGTGATGTTTGGACACAAGAGACTTGGAGCATTAGTTGCATTGTCGAGAGAAGAGAAAGCAGGTAGTTCTACATTAAAGAATGGGAAAGAAAAGCTTGTGAGAAGAGATCTAAGTGTTTTGGCATGTATGGGGGAGAGCAGGAAAACCTGACAAAAAAGTATTTTCATAATGAGGTTTTTAGCTGGTAGAGTTGATGTGGGATGGTTTATCTTCTGACTGGTTTGCATCACCCCACCTATCCCTA